ACGGACCAAAGCGGCAACTGTCAAGCAGGAACATGTGTCGACACAACTATTGTGCACCCTTTTGATTGGGATTTCTATATTCAGAGTCATGCCGGTCTCCTGGGCACCTCGCGCCCAGCACATTATTATGTGCTTCAGGACGATAGCAAGTTCACACCAGACGACTTGCAGTCATTGACCTATAACCTTTGCCATCTTTACGCGAGAGCCACGCGAACTGTTTCATATGTCCCAGCAGCATACTACGCACATATTGTAGCTGCCCGTGCTAGATTCCATGCCCGTGGCGAGCAATTCTCTGACACCATGTCTGGTGAGTCGGCCTCGACCATTGACTCGAGCTCGTATGCTGCTGTCAAGTCAGACCTCATCAAAGGTACGTTTTTATCCTTTTTTTTTTTTTTCTTTTCGTGTAAAAGGAATGACATGCCTCTCTCTGCCCATGATTTGACTACATGACACTTACATATATTTTCACACGATGATCTCTATAGTGATGTGGTACATGTAAACAACGCATTGCATCAAAGTTTTCTCTTGCATATTTTTCTTCCTTCCTTCCTTCGTTGCATTCGTGCTCAATCCATACGTGCTGACCATGATCTTAGCTGTCGCAATAATCAAATAGCAGATAAACCAATTCATTTCTGCTCCTTTTAGCTTTTTTTTTACGTGTGGATGAAATACACTAGTTTTCAAAAGTGCAGCAGAGAAGATACTGATGTGGGCTGTGTGAATGTATTGAAAAGAGAGGATTTCCTTTTCATTTTGCCTTGGTTTCAGAAGAAATTCGGGGGTTCACCAGAACCTCTCTCCTTGATAATAGGCAGAACATCCCTTCCTTGGACTGTGGAGAAAAAGAACAACGTCGCTGTGAACGCTTAGGCAGCCACAAGCCAGTGAAATAAACCATTTCTCAACATTCAGTCTCTGTAAATTAAAGAACCACTCAGAAGATGACAAAACCAGTTTTATTATTTTATTAATTGCCAGCGTCCTTGTCACTGCTGTCTTTGCCATGATATTTAGGATCGCCTTGACCCAATTTAAGAAGGCGGGAACACAGTGCCTCCGCATTTTTCGCATTGGCTGCACATGGATTTGTCCAGGACACAGTTACAGTCTTCGCAGTTGTATACTGGAGCAGCAGTTTCTAAGGGTCTTGCAGCCACAGTGTGCAATAGGGCAAAGGTGGTGATGGCCAAAAACCGGAATCTCATTTTCGAATGGGAGATGAATAATTTCCGTGAAAGTTCAATAAAAAAGGTGGAGACTGAGATGTGAATGGAGGTGGAAGCCAAGGAGACAAAGAGTTGGATTTTATTGATAGCCTGGTCAGGACCCTTTTATACGGTTCCTGACCAATGGCAATTGAACTCATCGAACTTTGAAAATAAAAAGAAGGGGGCAACATGCTTGCACCTTAGAACATGACTGCTCTAGTACGGAACGCAGATGAGGATAAAAGATGACTCGCATCTGTTCTGCACAAACTTGCAGTGCTGTCTCAAGGATTTCAAGCGGAGAGGGGGGTGAATGCTATTCAGGAACAATTACCACGGTTGTCTCTCAAGGCTGAAAGAAACTAATAAAACGGAGTTAACGGAGACAAAGCGAGTATTATTTTCCTCACTCGAGCGCGTTCAACCCAAATCAACAATACGCTTTAAGGTATACGCGTTTGAATAAAAAAAAAAAATGAACATTACCTTTTTTTTTTCTTATCAAAGGACCCTCGAGGGCACTGGTTTAATCAAAAGTTTTTTCTACAGTTTGTAGTTTGCCGTAGCTACTACACGGGAGAAAATGAGCAATCGTACCTTGGGCAACGGATAGCGGAAAGGGTGGGCAACGATTAACAAAAAAAATTGGCAACGGATAGTGTTTTCCAATCCAGATTGGAACTCTGGCAACCCAAGAGACAACCTTCAACATTGCTACCCCTCAAGTGGCAGATTTCAAAAAAAAAAGAAAATGAAAAAGAATGCTCACTGCAGGGATCGAACCTGCGGCCTTCGCGTTATTAGCACGACGCTCTACCGACTAAGCTAAGCGAGCCCGACTAAGCCAGGCTAGTAAGATGATTGGCCAGATTCCGGCCATTCTTCGATGAGAATCGGAAAAGGACGGACATATATGTATAGTCAGTAGGAGAGCACTAGTTTTAGAGCGCAATTTATGATTTCCAGCTGCTCTAAACAACACTGGAGCCCATGGACAATCTGTGTATGTTCTCTCTAAGGTAGGCATACTATTAGATGATGTTG